TTAAGTTAAAGAAACCTTCATTTATCCAAAAAGTGAACATAGAGAATAAATGATACAGAGTAATGCCTTCTTGCAATGACAAAGTGGTCGTTTTAAAAACACACCTTGTGGCAAACTCCCTCTTTATATAAAAAACCATGCAATGCCACTAACATAGATGATGATTGGTAATAATTGGTAAAATAAACATTGCGAAGCAAACGAGTTTCTAATCGAAACAGAACTGGCAATATTTTCGTTTATGATGTTTTTCTTTTCAGAATGCGGAGATATGCTTTACAACCTCAGCGCTTTCACAATGATTCGGACAATACAGAAGAGATTCATATAAGGCGTCAATGCGATGAAAGAAAAATGGAAAGCTTGCAAATGTGCACGGGATGTTTTGGTGGAGTTCCAGGCCAACTAGGCATGCAGACGCATAATTACCCATACCAAAAACAAGAAACAGATATGTAAGCTGCAAGCAGTAAATACAAAAGAGCAATAAAATTCAAGTAAGGATTCCATTTATTGCAAAAAATTTTTTTATTTTTGTCATCAGTTTAAAGTTAATTTGTGTACTTCTTTGTTGGAAAAAATTGTAGATTTGATTTTAAACGTCACTTCAACATTGATTTTTGAAAAAACTGTTTCCTGCTAGCAAGGCTTTGGCAGCTAATTTTATACTAAAACGAGGTACATTTCGATAAGTTTATATAAATTTCTCTGTAAAGTAGTTAACTTAAAATGAATTCATATGATTCTCTAAAATTGTAGAAATGAGGACATCTTAAACTATATTTTCATAATTTTGTCCTTTGAAATATGTTTCCAAATTGACTGAGAAATGGCCAGAGTGAGATACTAGAACTCAATTAGGAAAAGCCTGTGTATTCGTCTAGCTAAATCGCTGCCATTTTGTCTCGTATTTAACAGAGTTTGAACAGTTAGTTTTTGACAGTTAGTTTAGTTTACGAGATCATCACCTTGCAAAGGTGTAATTAGGAGTTGCATTTGACTGTGAGTTTCTAGTTATCTGCAAGATAGGGAATATGGCCATGTAAATAGTCTGTTATTGTACCGAACTTTTCACGGTGCCTCCTGCTCCTCCCCAGCAACTGTCATTCTGATTAATGCAAAATTAACAAAGGCAAGTTACTTCTTCTTTAAAAAACAAATAGACAAGCAAACCACGAGTCTTGAAATAAGTTTAAGTAGCTTTTTGGGCATTTATACTTTTTGAATGTTTATTGCTCCTGTTTTCCTAAAGCCTGATGACCTGCTTGTACATTAAGTTGGTGTAGGCTTTGCTACTGCTGGTAATCAGACATGAATACCTCTTTACGTCATTGTAAATATTCTTTATAAAGAATAATCAATTTGATAGACAACAATTTATGGATACATCGATACATAAAGAATGTAAAGGACTTTTCTTTCCCTGGACGTAGTTCCATTCGCTGTTGATGAAATTATTATAAAAGCGTTGTTAAGTTTACGTTTTAATCATTCAGTCCAATTTTTAGACAAAAGGTTTTCTATACATAATTTGCAGTTATTCAAAGACATTAACCAAAAATTTCGACCAAAAATTTCGATACTCATTTTTTAAGTAGAGCTGTTTTACAAAAAAATTTCCGAATTCGATCATTTTTCAAATCCTATAATCTAACATGTTTATCAAAAATTGAAACCTCCGAAAAATGGTTATTTCTTCAAAAATCGACTATCATTTCAACAATAAATTTCCAAAATATTCAATTTTTGACAAATAATTTTTTCATCCAAAACTTGCTTCAATCTACTCTATATAAAGCATAAATACATTTCGACCAGCTCTCGACACTATTAAAAGCGTTTTTACGCTCTAAAAATTCAGTGTACTGGAAAAGGTTTTTGCCCAAAAAGGTAAGGCTATAGCCTTACAAGAAAACACAATCTTAGTACCCAGACCACCTGGCAACCCTGAAGACGCAATGTCGCTAGGAGCTTGAGTCTGAATCCCTTTTTCCCCTACGGGTCCCCTAGCGACTGTTCGAATTCCTAGTACTGCAACTGATTTCTTTACTTCATTTCGTAGTAAAATTACTTACATTCCCATCATGTTATCCCTGCGCAGGCGCATTTGTCATGATGATTTATTTCGTCACCAATGCAAGCATTGTTTTTGTCTTTCCAAGGCTAATCTGCGCAGGGGCTTTGGGCAGCCCACGTAGCGTTCTTACTTATAGAAAGCTAGTTTCCCGGTCACTGCTAGTTTTGCTTGAAGAACATTAACAATATGCTTGAAGAGCTATATTCTGAACAGAAATTTAAAGCGTGACCGCTTCATACATATGTTCTTATACTGGTAGCGTATATAATGTAGCTATGTTGCTCAAATCATTAAATGTCTTGGCCTTCCTTCCTTCAACCCCTTGTTCTATTTTCAAAGGTGACCGCTCCCCCCCCCCCTCCAAATGACATGCAGAACCTGCAGTAAAAGCTGTAAATGAATTCTTAACCCCTGCTTACTCCTCGTTTGAATGACGGGGGTGTCCAAGTCAGACCCAGGATACTTACTGACTCGAGTCCATGCTTGAGTGCTGTATCTAGGGAAATCTTATTCGGGTTTTTGACTTAATTCTACTTCGGTCTACAGATATTTACGAAAATTATTGGATTTTCGCCCTCGAAATTACATGCAGCCTGGGAAAGTGCTTTCAGTATTTTTGATCCACGATGAACCACAATATTTGATCTGGGCTTTTGCGGATGTTATTTTTGTCTACACATCTTGGGTCTAATTTGGAAATTCCGTTTCATATTTGCAACAGTTACACGGTGTCTCCAGCACAACTTTTTATTCCGAACAAGAACCAAAAGTTTGGCAGATTAATGTCTGCTAGCCTTCGTTTTCCTCTCGTTTTTAAATTTTCAAGGGTTACCTCAAAGCGTTTTGCTTATTCTGAAACCAAGGTTACAGCTGTGTTTACGAACTTCGTAGACACGTAGGGTTCTCGTCCCTTAATTCTACGTGTTAGATACGCCCACAAGGGCTCAAAGAAAATACGAGAGATATTTATCTAATAATTGAAGAGGACTGTATATATATTAAAAAAAACGAGATTCTTATAATCTAACAAAACTAACAAACAAAATAAGCAACGAATAATTAATGTAAGTGTCCAAGAATGTAAGAGAATCTTTATTCCGAATTTCTTTGAATATCACGATTCCATGAATAAACTGAAAGATTTCACCTGGTTTTGTGTCCTTGTACGGGAAACCTTTATCTTGAGAGTTCTTCTTAGAGTTTCTTCGAAAAGAGCGATTTCTTAGAGTTTCTTCGAAAGGAGCGATTTCTTAGAGTTTCTTCGAAAGAGCGATGGTTCTTCGAGAGTCGATTTCGAACGAGAGCGAGAGTTCATTCCTTTTTCTTACTAGGTGTTGACACCTACTTCCACCTTCCACAACAAAACAAAAAGCCCAGAAGAAAACAAACGACACTTCAAAAAATAAACAAAAGAAACAAAACGAGGTTGGGGGACATTTCCGCACACTGTGTAAGAAAATCTAGGTTCGTCCCCTTTAATTAAATGTTCTTGTTTAAATATTTTCGAAGGTGCTCCTAAGCTCTTATGTTTACGCTGAACCCAAAATTAGATGGATGTAGAAAGATTTCTGTCACTCCACATTGATCCAATTCCTTCAGCAAAGTACTTCCAATGTTACCCCCAAGCTCTTCTGTTTATCGACAACCGTAGGGGACATTCACTGCATGCTATTCAGACGTCGATGTCGAATCTCATTCTGAATCTCATTCTCATTCTCTGTCTGAATAGCATGTGGTGGGATATTCTATACCTAAACCAAATAGGAAATTCTGAAGCTTAGATTGGTGCCAAAAACCCCCACATAATCTTTAAGAAAGTCAACTCATAAAATGCGAAAATCATACTCTCAGAAAAAGTTTTGATGACTGGACAATAGTAATATTTTCATTCTGAAATAAAAATGGATCTGATGCAGACAGATTTCTATTAGTCCCTCTAGAGTAATCTTCAAGCCCTTTTGTTTATTCTGTATCCAATCCAAAACTGTTGCAGATGATTCCTCTTGGTGCTCGTTGATTCACCTCCTTCGTCTATATATTTCCAAGGATAACACTGAGGCTCATATTTGTAATCTTACTTTATGGAAAAGTTTGTTAAAAATAGGGGCGCCAGAAATGTCCCAGAAGTGTGTGTAAATATCGAGCACGCTTCTCCACACTGCTGGAGATATTCGTCATCTTCATCAAACTCTTCTTGACTTGGTAGTGTAAGAATGCGTCTCCCAATTACAAGTTGAGCTGGAGTTAAGGGTTCTTCAAAATCCCCAGGGTTGAGATCTGCTAAATGTCTTGAATTAATTGTCCCTTCCACTTCTGCTATGACTGTGGTCAATTCTTCAAAGTTCAGTTTAGCCTTTCCAAGTCTCTGCCGTAGCAACCGCTTCATCAACTGCACCATGCGTTCGTAATACTAACCAAACCACGGCTCCTTTTCCAAAAAGAACCTCCATATAACATTATTGTGCTAACGAGCCTCTGAATTTATGGGGCTTTTAAGATTTTGCCGATTGCTTTGCTTACATCCTTGAAGGTATTTGCGTTATCTGATGCAACACTCCATGGTTAATCTCTTCTTGCTATAAATCTTTGTAGACATCAAATAAAGGCTGGTGTTGATAAATTTGGTACCATTTCAAGATGAACTGCACGGCTTAATGAGCAAGTAAACAAACGTAAGCTTTGTAAACAAACTTTAAACGTAAGCGTTGCATTCCTGCTATTGTTTTAATGTACAATGGTCCTGAAAATCTTTCATGTTTTAATGATGTACAATGTTTTAATGTACAATGGTAATGTACAATGCCTTCCTTTTCGAACCCAATAATTGGCTCTAAGTTCCGTAAGCGTTTCCTTTACTCCACTATGAAACACGTTGAGATGACTATGCTTGACAACCAGCCTTGTAATGTAATGATCCCTTGGCAACAGCGCTGGAAACTTTGACGTAAACGGTAGACTAGATCGGCTAATTCTTCCTTTGCATCTAACAATCTATCAACCTATAACTATCTGCAAACAATCCCAGCTGGCCTTCATACTTCTGGTGATAATCCTTCTTTTCCTTCAAATCTTCCTGCATATCCTTGATCCACAACTCCTCAGCTTGTAAAATATCTTCTGCAACAACAATCATTGAGGTAACTGCCGATTTCTTCAATAACTTAATAAAATTCAGCGTCAATGCAGTAACTCCAAGCAGTATTTTCCAACTACTATATCTTGTCCAATCAATAACTTTTGATATACGACAGTTGCTTTCTTCTGGCACGGTTAGCAGGGATGTAACTTTCTTTGACTGCAATCTAACTTCCTTCTGGCATTCTTCCAACATCTCTTCTTCTTCAATCACGTTTTCTGTTATAGGATAACATTCTGGAGGTCCTCTAAGCCAATTAAGACCATCCCACCACAGCAAATTATCCACTATTTGCAATGCAAAACAACCCCTGGAATCAAGGCCTGCAGGGTTATCAGTCCCAGAGCAATGTCTCCACGAATCCATATTTGTTAATTTCACAATCTCCATTCTTCTTTTATATACGAACTGGTTGTACTCTTTATCCGATTTTTATCCAATATAGTACACACTTGCTGTCAGTCTAACAATAAACTCCATTTATGCAAATTACAGGCTGCAGTGCTTCATTAACAGCAGATAACAAACGTGCAGAAATTAAGGCAGCTAATATCTCCGATCTTGGAATAGACATCTCTGGAGCAGATAATGGTCCATGCCTTGCTTTTGATGCTACCAACACTGATCTCCATTCAGCTTTCAATTCTCCAAAAACATGCAAGTAACTTGATTTAATTTCTTCATTGATCGGGACACAACATCTCTTGACTGCAATACTGACATTTTCAAAACCATTTCACGATGAACTCTTGCTCTCCCTCTGATAGTGGTTCATCCCAGTCATACTTCCTTCTGCACAAATCTTGAAACAGTTGTTTCACAGGTGCAATAATAGGCGCAATCAGTCCCAATGGGTCGAACAACTTGGCGGGAAATCTCAAGATATTTCTCTTTGTCCACTCTAGATCTTTCCCAAACTCAGCAAGGTTTGCCAATTTGAAGACAAACCAAGGATTTCATGCTTCTTTCCGGGTTCAATTTCGCTTAGGTCACCCATCAAAATTTTTGAATATGATATTTTTTCCATCTGATCAACTTCAGCTTCAGAGGCATCTACAATGTGTTCGTTATATGCAGCGATTTTCCTGCAACTACTTCGTCATTCGCTGCCCATTTTCCGTAAATTGAAGCTCCCAGCAGCCAAACAGCATGAACAATCATCGACGCAAAACGCTCTAATAACTCTCTCAGCCATTTCAATGTTCTCCTTGTAATACTGTCTTACAAATCTAACGTGGCATTTAAGCAGAACGGTGAAAAAGACATTCCAAACAATACATATTCTTTATTCTTCCACACTATCTTCTTCGTTGGGTCATCTTCTTCCACATTATCGACCCATGAAAATCTCATTAAATCTCATTGATCTTCTTCAACAACAATATTAAAAAATGCCTTTTCGATGTCCGCAGCAAGGCCAATTTCGTATCCTCGAAATCTCAACAAAATATCCATGATAGCAGGAGCCATAGGTGGTCCAACATACAAACATTCATTCAACGATGGTCACGACTTCTCCTCCTTTGAACAAGCATCGAAAACAACGCGTAATTTCGTTGTAAGTATGTCTTTTCACCGCTTGACAGAGGCGGATCCAGACTACAGCAACCTATGCAGAAGCATAAGTCAGATTCTTACAACAACCAAATAAAAAGGAAACTATCAAATGTTTAACCAATAGTTTCTTTGGCAAATTCTTTAGCAACGTCTTTTCTAGATCTGCCCCCGTTGGTACCAATAACATGCCGAAGGCAGGGCATGTAATTTGTTGACTCTCTTTCGGCCTCTGCACAAAATAGTCGATTGGCGATTCTAGGCATTTATCTGGTCCGTATTTTCTGAATCCAAAAACCTGTTTGTCCCTCGAGAGCCAATCACCGCTTGTTTGACCTCTGCAAACGTCTTGTAAGCCAATCATAGTGTACTTCACCTCTGCAATATTTGGTGCGAGCATAGGTGAGATTTGATTTATCAAATCTGAAGTTTACCTATGCAGTTGTTTACAGTGGACCTCTGCAATGGTTTGTTGCAACCAATGAAATGGATGTCACTGCTTCACCCTGCTAAGGAACTACAAAGTGTTTGTGTTTGTTCTGTGGTCTTGTGATATGACCTCTTCGTTCCGAATGTGGGTGGCCCTGGTTCGAATCCTACCGGGGTTGGGCAACTCAGAGGCTTTTTCCTTTGAATTGCAGGTAAATCTAGTCCTCTCTTTGCGAGTCTTTTCCATGGAATTCCATCTTGGAACCCCTTGCTCAATATCAGTGATATTGACTTTATTCAGAAAAATTTGGGCGTTTCCAACACAAAAGGGCGTGGCTTCTCTTTCTGACAACCTTTGTAATCTCCCCCACAGAGGCTATTGGGGAGGGAGAAGGGGAATGAGAGTTGGTGAAGCCTATCCTTTTTTCCTTCCGTATCTTCCTCCCGAATGGCCTCCGCGGAGGAGAGTACAACCTTTGCATAGGTCACAGAATTCAGGCTTGATCCACGCCTGCTCGATGTAGTAAATAAGGCACATTTCCAGGATCTGATTCATCAGATAAATCAACACTTTTGATGATGCCATCCCGCTCTTCATCTCTAATGATTCTGTCGTACGCCTTAAATGTTTCTGGGTCTTTATGAAGACGTTTTAACGAGGATTTCAAACGATCAAAAAATCTAATACAGAAATATTTCCATTTAACTGTGAATTGAAAAAGGCCAATTAGTAACGTGAGCACATGACTCTCGCTTGCCAATCAGTGCCGCTTGCCTATAGAAACATTACCAATGGAGTCAAAAGTGTGAAGATGAACTTCTCCCTCCTGTCTACACAATGGTGGTTTTTTCATTATTATATTATTGAAGTATTGAAGTTTTTGGCACAATCTGGGTTTTCTATTAAATTCTAACAGATGGCAGAATCACATTCTAGAAATACAGAACACAGTGAATTGAAAAATAGAACATTTTCGTAAACCAGAAAGGATTCTTTATACAGCAAGGAACAAATCAACAAAATACAGGTTATGAACAACAACTAATCTTGTTTCACTGTGCCAAAGAGCATCACGTCTGCGTCATAATTTTGCTTCTAACGCTGTTTGCTCTACATGAAGAAAAACGATTATGAAGATGTTATTCCATTGTTAATCAATGCAAGGAAATCGACAGTAAAAGTGCTTTTTCATCAACTGACTTAGTTAGCAAGGGCGACCTGAATAGATCGGTACAACGAATTTTGGATTTCAAAAACAAACACGCTCGTGCTCGTCAACATCGATAAAGTACAGGACAAGGTAATATGTTGATAGAAGGAATGTCTTCATTTAACGAAAGGGTACATACAATACAATGATGATTTTTGGCACATCTACATAAAGGTGGTCTTGTAGCTTTAATTCATAATCTAAGCTGCAAAATTCTTGCTACAAAATTTACCCAAATTCACAAATTAAACTAAATTCGAAAGACGTAGTACAATACCAGAAAGTTATATTTCAACGTATGTAATCTATGAAAACCCAAGCGAATCTTGTCGAAAATCGTTAAGCATCTGACGAATCAATAATACCCGCGAGACAGGTAGCATACAAAGCCAGGAACGATGAGATAATAAACATCTAAGCAAGTAACGATGAGAAATTAAATATTTAAGCCAGGAAAGATCAGAAATTGAAATTTTAAGCCAGTAACGATCAGGAATTGAACTTTTAAGCCAGGACGATCAGAAATTGAAATTTTAAGCCAGGAACGATCAGAAATTGAACTTTTAAAGGCTTACTTACTTGTTATGTGAAGTCTGAAGACGCCAGTAAAGTCGACTTGACCGTTCATACGTCTACAAATCAAACAAATAAAGTGTTGAGGGAAAGTTGAATCAAAAGGATTCGGAAACAGGGACAACCCTTGCAACGGGTCTTCCTAAAAATCAAATTTTCACGCGTCAAGAATAAACACCAGGCAACATATATCGCAAATTTTCTTTTTTTGGGGGCAAGTGGGCAAATCTGATTTCGTTTTAACGGAAACAAAATGGCTGAAATTTCAGAGAAACACTTTAGTGGGGTCTGGAAACCTCTTTTGGCGTGCGGTGTACTTCATCGAAATAAGCAAAATAGCATCAGAAACCAAATCAAAACTTCTGAAAGACCACTTACATACATGTATATCATGTCATGTGATTCCAGATCGGGAACAACCAACAGTGATCGTTACATCAAAAGTTAAAAAAAGTGCACTAAAAGGAAAAGCAGGGACACTGTATCAAAAGCAATATCGTTGCTTCTGCAAATGTTGGGGCCCAGACCTTCCTTGGTATCCTAAGACCCCACACAGTTATTGTTATTACATTCGGTAGTGTAATACGTGCCGAGATACACGGCGGCATGTAGAGTTTTAATTATAATGTTGATTTTATATTTGATTTAAAGCAGTAGTAGATTACATGTCTTGAATCTCAATACCTAATAAGGACAACGTATGGAAAATATCAATCGACAAGTCTCAGTGAACGTGATTATCTAAGTTGAAACTCGTAATAAGTTAGTTAGTTGGTTGGAGTAGAGTTGAAGTAATGATGGTGATCGGCGAAAATGTGAACAGAATATTGATGGATTTGATACAAAATAGTTACACAAAATGGTGATATTTCTCTGAGTCTTCATCTTACACTTCGTTTATCATTAAATATTAAGATAGGGGCACCGCTAGAAATAGTGGTCCCAACAGCAAACGATTCTAACGATAAAAAGGAAAGCGATGGCAAAAATGTTACGGACTACTCACCTGTGTACACCGTTCATGACTGCTTTATGTTCGAAAAGGAATGGCAGCTTGCATCGCGCATAATTTTTTTGAAGCGAACAATCTTTAAAAGCGAAACGCAAAAGCCATAATTTCAGACCTCAAAGAGAGGGAAGAAATGTTCTGAAAAAATACTTGGAAAAAGTACTCGTTCTCTTTCAGGAATGTTAGGGTTGAAAAAAGCAGATTCGCTTCAAAAGGTTCTCTATCGACAACTACTGACTGGATGAGAATCGACGTTTTAAAAACAACCAAGTTAGCGCTAGAAAAAGTCTTTGAAAAGGCTAAAAAAGGGAGCGAAGCTTTAGCAAAGAAAATGGCCTCGTCGCGCAAGGCCCATTGAGAGAAGTTGCGTCGCCAATTCGGAGCGAGGGAAGCGAGTAAATGGAGATTTGAGACCTTTCCACACTATAACAACCCCTGAGGAACCGAACTAACGAAGTGCAGCCCAAGGGGGTGCAGCAGTTTTTGCGGAGCTCATGTCAGAATTTTCGAAGGGATTTGGAACCGATTTAAATGGAGCGAGCTAATTAACATATTAGCCTATTACATATCCGCACATTAGTATTATTGTATTGTAGAGATATAAAATGTAAACCAAGTATTTATTTGCAGTTATTAGCAGTCATAGGAAGTAGAATCACACAACGTTGTTTCGTCACAAATCTGTACCATTGTTCCTAGAGCCTCATTTAACCTTGCTTTATCGCTTCTTGTGCCTCATAACAACACCGTATTTGGCTATTCTTTTGTGCTACTGGATGATCACGTGAGATTAACAATAGCCATGACAAAATTCGCATAGACAAAGGATTTGCTTGCTATTGGCCTTTTGTATCTGCTTGATGGTAATGTCATTCTGCAAAGTTGTGTTCGGAGCTTGGCAATTTTGTTGAGGTAGGTAATTTTTGCAAACTTTTCCAAAATAAGAATACTCAAGCTTCAAAATTGGTTATATTATTTCACCATGCCATAGAAAAGTTTTATGAGATGTGGTCCCTCCTGCCCTTTTATTTGGATGTAACCGTTTTCACCCAGTAACCATCTTCCTTTGTCATTAAAAGCGGGGTTAATGACAAATTGAAGAAAAATGTGTTCAAATATTTAGATAAGGCAAGTACACCCTTTTTAAAAGAACTATTTTAAAAGAACACGAGCCTCAGCATTGGTCATAAGTTTAAGATAATATTAAAATTGGGACCGAGCTACTGTAAAATGTGATTTTGAACAACGTTTTAAAATAAAAACGAGGACTTTTAGCCATGCGTGGGTGGGTGCTTCTTCGTTTAATATTCAAACATGTCGGCAGTGGAGGTTGCCTCACTCATTTTGTTGACAAATGAGGCCTGAAAGCCCTGCTTACACCCTCTTAATTTAAGAAAAAATAATCAACAATCCAGCCTCAGATTTTCGAAAATATTAAGAACAGTCAGCCTGAACTTGAATTTACTGGTTCTTATAAAAAAGTGTTGCTGTTTGATTTGGTTGTGTTCTTTGCCCTATTTCTTAAACAGCGCATGATTTTCTTTCAAAGCAAAATGCACAACTCCACCTCAGTAATATTTCCTTTTCATGGTTTGGTTCATAAGCATTTATTTTTGGAATATTTTTAATTTAATTTTTAAGTTAGTTTGGTAAATCTTTCATAGAGCAGTCTGATAGTTGAAGGACTTGCAAATGTTAAAGGTATGGGATCTTTTTCGCCCTGCTTTCTAAAACACCCATGCAGAAAGAGAGGAGATATGTAGACCATAGATATTCAGGTGTTTGCATTGAAATTTAGCACCGACAATTACTGTCTTTACATTGTGTAGTTTGCAAGTCAAGTAGCGACAAGAAATGGATGTCAGAGCCATAACTGGAATGAAGGCATTAATTATTGCTGCTATGAGCTGCATTTTGTTGGTGAGTTTCTCATTTGTGCTTGATGTTTAGCATAACGTAAGATTACAGATAAACAAAAGTGTTTGCTGCGACACAAGTGACGTCATAGATTAACTTTTCGCTGCGTTGTCTTGCCAAGGATCCCACTCACAAATAGACTTCCCTCTAGAAAAAAGGTGCATGCAATTTGTTTTTAAACTTTGATACAGACTAAATTCTAAAGCAACAAAGGAGACATGAAGCCCCGTGTATCTCTCGTGATCTGCCTTGTAAAATACAAAATCGCTGGATGCAGTATTAGGAAAATGGATGCAACTTTAGTGTCCACAGTAATGACAATCAATACCCTAATTGCAGTTTTTCATAATATTCCTCTCAAGCAGTGAAATGTTTCCTGTCGCTGCTCTCTTTCTCCAATAAACAGAATAAAGTAGCCATCTCTGTAAACCTCTAACTATCTTTAGACTGTACCAAAAGAAGAAAAGTATTCTAGGAGCATTAGGGAACAATAGGAACAGAAAGGAATTATTCACTGTACAATGCGAACTTTTTCAGAGAAAGAGGGGCAAAAGCCCCCTAAGAACAATAGTAGTTACGGGCCTACTTCATACATGAAAATGTGAGAAAGATCTATCTATCTATCTTTTAATTTGCCCTTGGTACCTTTTCAGAATTTTTCACAGCATACGATAAAGCAAAATAGTCACATCCAGTGGCGTGGTGGCAGGGGGGCCAGGGGGGCCATGGCCCCCCTGAATAGGGGCGCAAATGGAGATAAGGGGGCGCCAAAATTGTTTGCTTGTAATAATTGGCTAGGAACATCAAAAGTGATCGTACACTGGTAGAACACTCCGCTATACCTTGCTGTGAACAATCTAAAATAACGTGAGATTTTACAATCGAAGCACGTTGCGCTGCCATGACCCAATCAACATTTGTTTCATACGTTTTCGTGTTAACTATGTACGTGACTTCATGTTTAGCACGCCAACTAACGAAGATTTTGCGTATGCCAAAAATGTTTTCTATTAGTTTGTACTCGGAACGTCAAAAAGCCGGAGTGTACGCTAAAGATCTTCGGACCCAAGTACATGGAATGCACCCTGGCAATCAATATAGCAGATTCTTGTTATTAACATCGATGTGACCATCACCCTTTCTTTCTTTATCCAACGCATGAATCCTCCCCTTCCAAATTTTTTCTAAAAATCAAAAATCAATTTCTAACATCGTCGAACTGTCTATTCTGAGCGGTGTAGTAATTTGTTAAATTTTAGTCTAGGAGATGCATTTTTAGCCATTCTAGAAGGCTTGATTTCAAAAATTTTCTTCCGCGTCGGACCCAACCATGGTGGGTCCTCCTTTGTCACTAAACTTGATCCTTAGCCCAACCCCAGATTCAATCTTGTGCTCGCCGCCTCTGTCCGATTCAATAGTGCGATTCAATGCTTGAAACTTTCAAGTTGTTGAAAAACTACTATTTAATAACTACTAAAGAATAAAAAACTTGAACCATGTTTGTATATCATACATCATATATGCGATGACACTAGGCTGATAAAATCGAACATAAGCAGTGGCGAAATGGACAAAGGTTACCTTTAGTTAAAAAAAATGGAGCCCTAAACAATAATTTGCTCTACGTTATTTTACTCTGAAGCTGGTATTCTGGACATAATAAACGAGTAGCCTGTATGAAACATCAGTGTAATTGAATAAAATTTTTTTTGATTAGTATTTTATGTTTTGCCTACCGTATTTCCTTGAAAATAGGCCGACTTTCGAAAATAAGCCAATTCAAAAAAGCTTGATATTTTACCGAACAACGAGAAGGTCAAATGTTAGGATTACATAACTTTTCCATTCATATTCGCATTTTTAGTCAAACCTTATTTATGAAATTTGGATTCAAATTGCAAAAAACGATATCCCTTCTAGAAACACATGCTTTATATAACCACGATATTCTGTGACGATATATAGAAAGGGCGCAAAAATCGACTTGGCCACCCCAGGGAAAACATAGCCACCCCGCCACTGGTCACATCCTCCTCCTTTTTTCCTTATGTTTATTTTTGACAGTTCTCATCCTTTCCCAAAGGCCCCAGATCTTTAAGTATCTCTCTAGCACATCAAAAACGGGTTCCCGTTTGTTCTCGGGATGCAACAAAGCATTTGCAGTATCCTGAACTTCTGTTTGATTTAAAGATTTTGGAGATGCAACTTTTTTGCTTTCTTATTCTAAGGATATCACCAATGCCAGTGTTACTGTACGAATCGAGCTGATAAAGTTTGATAACCATGGTAGCAAAGCTTATGATAAAGGTCGTAGCTGTTTTCTTTTTGGAATTGGAACCTGCTGTACGTTTTTTAAAATGTGCATCAAACCATCTAAAGATATGCCCTCTTCGTTATCCGATTGTTGGTTTTCCAATCAGACGACACCTAGAAACACAAACACAATAGACTTTGCATCAGTGTACGTTGGTTTACCAAAAGTTATCGAAATTAACCGAGATAGTTGGCCAGGGGTAAGTTACATTGAAACAGATTTATATATTTGTTCTGAATATGATATAGTGTTGTTTTTCACGCAGTATTATATTACTGGCATTTTCTTAAAGTTGTTATTGATCAATATTTGTCAGTGTATACCTCGTATTGCAGTCATCAACTTCAAAAATTTTACATAACTTTATTTTTCATTACAAGCTCTATTCGCGACCACCGTCCTATCTTCTCTAGAATGTCCACCAAACAAACTCTAAAATAAAAAAGCAGATTTGTTGCTTAGTGTCCGAAGCCGATAAACATGCTTTGGTGTCAGGCTCGAAGCCAAATAGGGGGGCACGGGGGTATTGCCCGCTCAACTAGAATTTTTTGCCCCTTTACTCTCAACTAGAATTTAGAAAACGGCGTCTTCCTACATGACTATCGGAGAAAGTCGGTCTCAACAAAGTCTGTACATCTGTGCATTCATGGTAAAAACCAATATCGACTGTGCACCAGTCCACATCGAGGGGCATATCGAGTCGATCATACTCCTGAAATGCTTCAGCCTGCGTTGAATTCTTGTTTTCGGCACTGCTCCCAACGAAGACGCTAACCTGCAAAATGAGACTCTAACTTACTTCATTTTGAACGACAATCTTTGATGTCACTGCATTTAGATGACTTTTTAAATATGATAAGGCTCCGTTGCACCTATCATTCTGGCATAGTTAAATATGTAATAGAAAACAAGACTTCTGTTCAGATTTTCGCGTTTCTAATCGCCAGTGAAGGAAGATCAAAATTTTTTTCCGGTGCAAGATGTTAAATCTGTATCAAATTTTGGATTAAACTCTGTATAAATTGCAAGATATTGAATTCTTGAAGGCTCTTCAATACCGTTACTTAAGTTCTTCAATACCGTCACTTAAGTTCTTGCCTTCAGATAACAAGCAACAAGCTCCTTCTCTTCGATCAGTTGACAAGCATAACTTAACTCGGCATTGCCCGCCAGGGGCGTCGCTAAGGAGGTTGCTTTCTCCGCATACTTTATCCGTCGGCACATGATTTATTTCTCCCCTGTAATATAATTATAATCTTTTTGTCACAGTTGCAACTTGATAAGACTTTTAGAATCCTGAAAATTAAAATAGAACACATAAAACAGCATATTAAATTACTTACTCTATCACCATACCCAAAAAGGGTGAGACACGCCTTTCTTTGTCGGCAAAAGGCAATACTACCCCTTGGAAAAAAACTTTTTGGCTTCGCCCAATTTGCCCGCCCACATTTACAGTGCTGGCTTCGTGCCTCTTTGATGCGTAGGACATCTTAGAAAAATCTGTCCAAAGTTTCTACTCCAATCTTCATGCTTAATGCAAGCATCATGCAACTTTTATTCCAAAACTATTTGGTGATCGTTTTCTTACACATTCATTAGGTTCTTTCGCTTCTCCACTTAAAAAAGAGTGTTCAATGATTTTTATATCCATCAAACTATGGTCTTATAAATCGATGTGCCTGTTCTATTCCCTTTCTTCCATAAGGCCAATTCCCTATTTACAAAAATGGAATGGATATTGATTTGTTGTATTAACATTTCTTTGACAGAATATTGGATTTTACATAAAGGTGTATGACAAAGACTATCGTGTTATCGATGAGCTCATGGACATTCATAAATACAGGAAAGAAGTAACTGCAGAACCGAATGGAAGCAGACTTGTTAATTACAACGAAACAAGCACAGGAGAAAGGCCCCACAAACCAGCTAGCATATTAACGTTTCATTTACAAGTGTCTTGTGACCTGAACTACTATGGCAACAGCTGTCAAAAGTATTGCAAAGAATATGACGATTCGGCAAATGGACACTACGGGTGCGATAAAAATGGAGATAGATTTTGCCTAAAGGGCTGGTACAACCTGCCCAACTGCTTGCAGCATTGTCTTCCTCAAAATGATAATCTGAAAGGTCATTATAATTGTTCAAAGAATGGAACTCGATTGTGCCATAAAAACTGGACTGGAATGTATTGTAACATCAACAAAAATAAAGCTGTAAGTACATTTGCTTTGCCGTCTAGTCAGAGCCTACAATCGTTGCTATCACAAACAAAAACTGTTCTTAAACCAAGGACGTCCGTTATTCTGTTATCAAGATCAATTGGCCACATTACATTGAAATCTTCAGCAATTTCACCGACTTTAATGCCTTCAGTTGAAATTCGGCAGTCATCGATAACCCCTCTGCTACAAATGTCAAGGCAAAGTGTGGTCTCCTCTAGATACAAATTTTCAGAACATTCCAGCCTTGCTTCTACTGCAATGTTTCCTCATTCTGTTTCCAAGCTACTGACAAAATGTTCTATCACTGCCGAAATAAAAGCAAGTAAAGCTCCTAGAAATAGCGCATTGCCATCGTCTGCAATTTTAGGGCCTACCCAGTTAACACCAGACAACATCGCAAGTGCCACTGACGATTTTCAATGGATGGTGAGCACAAGAAGAGGAATTCTGGTTCTAATTGGTTTTGCACTAGCACTTGTGTTTTTGGCTTGTTTTCTCTGTGCACTCGTGAAAATTTGCAGGTATGTTTGATGGCTTTTTATGATACAGCTTAGCTCATGTCCAACTTTTTTATGGGTTTCGTTTTGTACAGTTTTAACTGTAGGCTCACTATAATTTATAACAGGTTTAAAAACAGTAATATTTTCACGACTGAAGAAAACACATTGCAATATGGTTTAAACATGAAGGCACCAAATTCTGGTAAACAATTTGCTCTTTCATTAAACAAGATTCTTTTTTTTTTATATATATATATCCATAAAAAAGTTACAATACATAAACACAAGCTACGCTACTTACAAATTTACTTTACAATACTACTCGGACGATACCCCGAGGAGCAAAAGACTATGACTACCCCGGGGCCATAGACACATTGTTAAAATAAGCTACTATAGTCTGTCTCAAATTACATGCCACGAGAATGTCTGCGATCAATTCAAATTTAAGAAGGGAAGTATAGGTATCATCGCAACTACTGCGCGGCATCCAATTTGAGGCAGACTTTGAAAATACACGACTAAAAAAAAAGGAAAGGAAGAAAGGAACATGGGAAATGGGAGATGGTGGCTGTGGTTTTATGACTTATAACGGAGTTTGAAATTTTCTAATCAAATCAAATCAAATCGACCAGATTTTTGGATGAATTTAAGCGTCAGCAGGAGTATATCTTTATTAACTTTATCTGGGAAATTTTTGTCATCATACAATAAAATCTGCATTAGAAGAATGTTTTGGAGGTCGGTATGTCCATATGGTCGTATTAAAGCAGAAACTCCAGCGAGAAGGTCTCTACGTGGTACTGCAAGGGAAGGGCAAAGCAACAAAAAGTGTTCCGTATCCTCAATACCATCGTTCGTAGGGCACATCGGATTTATGGTATCCTTAAAGTTGTTCTTGAATTTGTGAAAATTCAATTTACTGAGACCAACCCTGAGTTGAGTGAGATATGATAAACCTATTGGGTCATGAATGCCAAATATAGATCTTGCCGGGGGTCTGATTATAGATAGGAGCTTCTTTTTGAAAACAGCAACAGACGGTGCAAGTTTAATCTCAGGATCAAGTTCATTCAATTCGGATAAGCAATGAGGATAGAAACTAGATTTGAATTTTTCTGTTCTGGCCTTTATTTGCCCAAAGACATCTTGGTTGCGAAGAGAGTAGTGTGGCTGTTGAAGTGGTGGGATTGGGTCCTTAGTATAAACAGGAGTTAAATTATTAATGATTTTGTAAAGCAAAGTGAGGCGTCTGCTCCATCTTCGGCAACTCAGTGATTCCCAGCCAAGCTCCGAGTACAACTTTTCTCGCGATGTTTCTCTCCAAGTTCCTAAAATAGCTCGCGCAGCAGAATACTGAACAATTTTTCCATCAAGCTCGGTAAAATGACGCTACCACTGAACTCGCATACTTTTGCTGGAATATGGTAAATAACTTCCCCACAGTCGATATGTGGTCGCACATAGAGCTTATATAGCTCGTTTAGGGTATGCCTGGGCAGATATTTGGAGAGATATCTCAGCAAGCCAATACCCTTTCTTGTTTTGGAGATAGCTGATTTGATATGAGCTGAAAAACATAGCTTTGAGTCCAGGATAATTCCTAAGTGCTTATGCCAAACTACTTTCTTCACAGGTATGTTATTAAAGAGAGTAACAGGATGATCAACTTGAATTTTCTTCTTTGAAAATGTTTATTCAACGGCTTGTGTTTGTGGATGAGGATTAAACGACATCCTCCAATCATGAGCCCATTGACTTATCAACTCAAGATCGTGGTTCATGTCACTGGCAGCTGAATTAGAATCATGAACGACCGTAAATAATGACGTATCGTCAGCAAAAAGCTTAACATTGCACCTCAAATGTTCAGTAAGGTCATTTATACATACTAGGAAGAATAAAGGTCCTAGAATAGAGCCCTGTGGTACTCCCGCCGAAATATCTCTCCAAGAAGAATTCTGCCCATTCAAAACTGTTCGCTGCTTTCTATCCCTAAGAAAACTCTCAACAAGAGAAAGAAGACTTCCAGAAACGCCACACCGCTTTAGCTTATAAATCAGCCCATCATGCCATACTCTGTCAAATGCCTTAGAGATATCAAGATACACAGAACGAACATCAAGATTCTTTGACTACGACTGTAGACCTAAATCTTTTCTAAATCAACTTACGCCCCTAATTTCATGAAGTAAAAGACATCGCCTTCTTGCAATGACAAAGTGGTTGTTTTCAAAACACTCCTTGTGGCAACCTCCCTCTTTTAAATAAAAAAACCATGCAATGCCACTAACATAGATGACGACTGGTAAAACTTGCCATTTGTTTATAAAGATGCTTTCTCTCATAGAATGCGGAGACATGCTTTACAACCTCAGCGCTTTCACAATGATTCGGACAATACAGAAGAGATTCATATAAAGCGTCAATGCGACGTAAGAAAACTTAAAAGTTTGCAAATGTGCACGGGATGTTTTGGCGGAGTTCCAGGCCAACTAGGCATGCAAACGCATAATTACCCATACCAAAAACAAGAAACAGATATGTAAGCTGCAAGCACTAGATACAAAAGAGCAATAAAACTCAAGTAAGGATTCCATTTATTGGAAAATAATTTTTATTTTTATCGTCAGTTTAAAGTTATTTTGTGGATTCCTTTTTTGGAAACAATATTACTTTTGATTTTAACGTCACTTTCAAGTTAATTTTTGGACTTCCTTTCTGGAAACAATGTTACATTTGATTTTAAACGTTCCTTTAACATTGATTTTTAAAAAACTATTTCTTGCTAGAAAGCTTTGGAAGCTAATTTTATGAAGCAGATATGTAAGCTGCAAGCAGTCGATTCAAAAGAGCAATAAATTTCAGATAAAAGATTTTAGAATATAGCTTTGAAGATGTAGACCCCATTCTTAGTTTGCAAATATGATATTTTTATTATTTACACCTGTTTTTGGGTGAAATATTTTCAAAGGAAGTTTTCCATTTTCAGTTTCCGAGAAGTTTTTAAAAACCGTAACATTTTGGCCAATAATATCTACTCTCATTTTCTCAGTAAAAATTCTTTCTGAAGTTTTTGGTCTCGATATAAAATTTTTTAAAGCACTCTTAAGATTAGGTTTTGATGATTTAATCAAATTTTTGGACGAAAAGCTTTCTTTACATAATTAGCAGCTATTCAAAGCAAATATTCATACATTTCAAGCAAAAAGTTTAATAATCGTTTCTCGAGCAAACCTGTTTTTAAAAAAAATTTCAAAATTCGATTATTTTTCTTAACCTATACCCTAACATACCTAGATCAAAAATTGCAACCTATAATAAATTACAAACAACCAACTTTAGAACAAGAATTGTTTCATACAAACTTTTTCTCAATCTAATCTTAATAAAGAAAAAACACGTTTAAATCAGCTTTCAACTTTATTAAGAAAAGTTTTTATTCTCTAAAAAAAATCTGTTTCAATAAAGAATTTTTGCTAGAAAAAAACAAGGTTATAGCCTTACAAAAATACTAGATTTTTGACCAAGATTGTTTCATCGCAAAACTGCTTCAAACTGCTCTAAAAAAGCAGAAAAACGTATAAAACAGCTCCAAACCCTATTGAAAGATTTTTCATGCCCTAAAAATGATCTGTTTTGATTAAAATGTTTTGTGCAAAAGGCAAGGTTATAGCCTTACAAAAATAATAGATTTTTGACCAAGATTTTTTCATCAAAAAACTGCTTCGAGCTTGTGTAAAAGAAGAAGGAAAACGTATAAATCAGCTCTAAACCCTATTAAAAGCTTTTTCATGCACTTAAAATGATCTGTTTTGATTAAAGATTTTTGTGCAAAAAGGCAAGGTGATAGCCTTACAAAAATATTAGATTTTTTACCACGATTTTTTTCATCAAAAAACTGCTTCAAGCTGCTCCAAAAATACAGAAAAACGTATAAATCAGCTCTAAACCCTATTGAAAGATTTTTCATGCCTTATAAATGATCTGTTTTGATTAAAGATTTTTGAGCAAGAAGGCAAGATTTTTTTCATCGAAAAACTGCTTCAAGCTGCTCTAAAAAAGCAGAAAAATGTATAAATCAGCTCTAAACCCTATTAAAAGATTTTTCATGCCCTATAAACGATCTGTTTTGATTAAAGATTTTTCTGCAAAAAGGCAAGGTTATAGCCTTACAAAAATATTAGATTTTTGACAAAGATTTTTTCATCAAAAAACTGCTTCGAGCTTGTGTAAAAGAAGAGAGAAAACGTATAAATCAGCTCTAAACCCTATTAAAGCTTTTTCATGCACTTAAAATGATCTGTTTTGGTTAAAGATTTTTGGGCAAAAAGGCAAGCTTATAGCCTTACAAAATCATTAGATTTTTCACCAAGATATTTTCATCAAAAAACTGCCTTGAGCTGGTGTAAAAAAAGCAGAAAAACGTATAAATCAGCCCTAAACCCTATTAAAAGATTTTTCATGCCCTATAAACGATCTGTTTTGATTAAAGATTTTTGTGCAAAAAGGCAAGGTGATAGCCTTACAAAAACATTAGATTTTTCACCAAGATTTTTTTCATCAAAAAACTGCTTCAAGCTGCTCTAAAAATACAGGAAAATGTATAAATCAGCTCTCAACCCTATTGAAAGATTTTTCATCCTCTAAAAATGATCTGTTTTGATTAAAGAATTTTGTGCAAAAAGGCAAGGTTATAGCCTTACAAAAATATTAGATTTTTGACCAAGATTTTTTCATCGAAAAACTGCTTCAAGCTGCTCTTAAAAAAGCAGAAAAACGTTTAAATCAGCTCTAAACCCTATTAAAAGATTTTTCATGCCCTATAAACGATCTGTTTTGAATAAAATGTTTTGTGCAAAAAGGCAAAGTTATAGCCTTACAAAAATGATTGATTTTTGACCAAGATTTTTTTCATCGAAAAACTGCTTAAAACTTCTCTAAAAAAAGCAGTAAAACGCATAAATCAGCTCTAAACCCTAATGAAAGATTTTCCATGCCCTATAAACGATCTGTTTCGATTAAAGATTTTTGTGCAAAAAAGCAAGGTTATAGCCTTACAGAAAAATTTGATTTTTGACCAAGATTTTTTTCATCGAAAAACTGCTTCAAGCTGCTCTAAAAAAGCAGAAAAATGTATAAATCAGCTCTAAACCCTATTAACAGATTTTCCATGCCCTATAAACGATCTTTTTTGATTAAAGCTTTTTGTGAAAAAAGGCAAGGTTATAGCCTTACAAAAATATTTGATTTTTGACCAAGATTTTTTTCATCGAAAAACTGCTTCAAGCTGCTCTAAAAAAAGCAGAAAAATGTATAAATCAGCTCTAAACCCTATTAAAAGATTTTTCATGCCCTATAAACGATCTGTTTCGATTAAAGATTTTTGTGCAAAAAAGCAAGGTTGTAGCCTTACAGAAAAATTTGATTTTTGACCAAGATTTTTTTCATCGAAAAACAGCTTCAAGCTGCTCTAAAAAAGCAGAAAAATGTATAAATCAGCTCTAAACCCTATTAACAGATTTTCCATGCCCTATAAACAATCTTTTTTGATTAAAGCTTTTTGTGAAAAAAGGCAAGGTTATAGCCTTACAAAAATATTTGATATTTGACCAAGATTTTTTTCATCGAAAAACTGCTTCAAGCTGCTCTAAAAAATCAGAAAAATGTATAAATAAGCTCTAAACCCTATTAAAAGATTTTTCATGCCCTTTAAACGATCTTTTTTGATTAAAGATTTTTGTGCAAAAAGGCAGGTTATACCCTTACAAAAATATTTGATTTTTGACCAAGATTTTTTTCATCGAAAAACAGCTTCAAGCTGCTCTAAAAAAGCAGAAAAATGTATAAATCAGCTCTAAACCCTATTAACAGATTTTCCATGCCCTATAAACAATCTTTTTTGATTAAAGCTTTTTGTGAAAAAAGGCAAGGTTATAGCCTTACAAAAATATTTGATATTTGACCAAGATTTTTTTCATCGAAAAACTGCTTCAAGCTGCTCTAAAAAATCAGAAAAATGTATAAATCAGCTCTAAACCCTATTAAAAGATTTTTCATGCCCTTTAAACGATCTTTTTTGATTAAAGATTTTTGTGCAAAAAGGCAGGTTATACCCTTACAAAAATATTTGATTTTTGACCAAGATTTTTTTCATCGAAAATCTGCTTAAAACTTCTTTAAAAAAGCAGTAAAACGCATAAATCAGCTCTAAACCCTATTGAAAGATTTTTCATCTTTTAAAATGATCTGTTTTGATTAGAGATTTTTGTGCAAAAAGGCAAGGCTATACCCTTACAAAAATATTTGATTTTTGACCAAGATTTTTTTCATCGAAAAACTGCTTAAAACTTCTCTAAAAAAAGCAGAAAAATGTATAAATCAGCTCTAAACCCTATTGAAAGATTTTCCATGCCCTATAAACGATCTTTTTTGATTAAAGATTTTTGTGCAAAAAGGCAGGTTATACCCTTACAAAAATATTTGATTTTTGACCAAGATTTTTTTCATCGAAAAACAGCTTCAAGCTGCTCTAAAAAAGCAGAAAAATGTATAAATCAGCTCTAAACCCTATTAACAGATTTTCCATGCCCTATAAACAATCTTTTTTGATTAAAGCTTTTTGTGAAAAAAGGCAAGGTTATAGCCTTACAAAAATATTTGATATTTGACCAAGATTTTTTTCATCGAAAAACTGCTTCAAGCTGCTCTAAAAAATCAGAAAAATGTATAAATCAGCTCTAAACCCTATTAAAAGATTTTTCATGCCCTTTAAACGATCTTTTTTGATTAAAGATTTTTGTGCAAAAAGGCAGGTTATACCCTTACAAAAATATTTGATTTTTGACCAAGATTTTTTTCATCGAAAATCTGCTTAAAACTTCTTTAAAAAAGCAGTAAAACGCATAAATCAGCTCTAAACCCTATTGAAAGATTTTTCATGCCCTTTAAACGATCTTTTTTGATTAAAGATTTTTGTGCAAAAAGGCAGGTTATACCCTTACAAAAATATTTGATTTTTGACCAAGATTTTTTTCATCGAAAATCTGCTTAAAACTTCTTTAAAAAAGCAGTAAAACGCATAAATCAGCTCTAAACCCTATTGAAAGATTTTCCATGCCCTATAAACGATCTTTTTTGATTAAAGATTTTTGTGCAAAAAGGCAGGTTATACCCTTACAAAAATATTTGATTTTTGACCAAGATTTTTTTCATCGAAAATCTGCTTAAAACTTCTTTAAAAAAGCAGTAAAACGCATAAATCAGCTCTAAACCCTATTGAAAGATTTTCCATGCCCTATAAACGATCTGTTTCGATTAAAGATTTTTGAGCAAAAAGGCAAGGTTATAGCCTTACAGAAATATTTGATTTTTGACCAAGATTTTTTTCATCGAAAAACTGCCTCAAGCTGCTCTAAAAAATACAGAAAAACGTATAAATCAGCTCTAAACCCTATTAAAAGATTTTTCATGCCCTATAAACGATCTGTTTCGATTAAAGATTTTTGTGCAAAAAGGCAAGGCTATAGCCTTACAAAAATATTTGATTTTTGACCAAGATTTTTTTCATCGAAAAACTGCCTCAAGCTGCTCTAAAAAATACAGAAAAACGTATAAATCAGCTCTAAACCCTATTGAAAGATTTTTCATTCTTTTAAAATGATCTGTTTTGATTAGAGATTTTTGTGCAAAAAGGCAAGGCTATAGCCTTACAAAAATATTTGATTTTTGACCAAGATTTTTTTCATCGAAAAACTGCTTAAAACGTCTCTAAAAAAAGCAGAAAAATGTATAAATCAGCTCTAAACCCTATTGAAAGATTTTCCATGCCCTTTAAACGATCTTTTTTGATTAAAGATTTTTGTGCAAAAAGGCAAGGTTATAGCCGTACAAAAATGTTTGATTTTTGACCAAGATTTTTTTCATCGAAAAACTGCTTCAAGCTGCTCTAAAAAAGCAGAAAAATGTATAAATCAGCTCTAAACCCTATTAAAAGATTTTTCATGCCCTTTAAACGATCTTTTTTGATTAAAGATTTTTGTGCAAAAAGGCAAGGTTATAGCCTTACAAAAATATTTGATTTTTGACCAAGATTTTTT